ACATTCCTGGTAATATATAATTTAATCTTTTATATTTAATTTAAAAGATATGATATAATTATATTTTGTTAGGTAACAGAAGAGGATATAAAAAAATTTTATAAACCGTTTGGTGAAATTACAGAAGTAAACCTTTTAAAACGTCCAGATGGAAGCTTAGTTGGATGCGGTTTTATACGATTTAAATGTATAGAAGATGCTTCGAAAGCAATATTCAATACCAATAAAAAGGAGTTTTTTGGTATTTGCAGAATTGAGTTTGTTTTTTTTTTTTTTTTTTTTTTTTTTGAAAAGTTAGAATATAAAATATGGCAGAGGATATTTTTTCAATCTTCGTGAAATGATAAAAATAATATTTGAACTGTATACATTTAAAAAGTTGTAATACTTGAGATGTAACTCGCTGGTTAAGCTAATACGTATTTTTGATTGTAATTAAGGATGTTTTGGCTATACAATAGTAGCAAAAAATTGTCAAAATTTAAAAAGAAAATATATTTCTTACGTTTATATTGTTTGAAAAATCAAATAAATAAATCCGGATTATAAAAGTAATTAAAGTATCACAAAATAATATAGTTTTTAACGTGTTCGTAAAAAAATAGTTGTAATTAATATTTTTCCTAATTTATGACAAAAACTTTTGATCGTAAATATCTCCTGAAATCAACTGCAAGAAACACAAAAAAAACGAGTGATTTGCAGAAAGAGAGAAAGAGACAGATAATATTTTTCTACAATTTTTAGTAAATAACTTTTAAACGAGTAAGTGAATTTAAATCAAGTTTTGTACAAATATTTATTAGAATTTTCTTAATATATGTGAAAATTTTTGGCAATGTTTTTTCCTTGTCAAATAAGCGCTACAATACGCGATTTTCCATAAGAATCAATACTAACTCTAAACTTAAATAATTTCCAAATCGCTAAGAGAATTATGCTCAGGTTTTGCCCAGATACTCAGAAGAAATAGAAAAATCTAAAAAGAATGTTCATGCTTTTGTCAATGTTTTGACATATGACACATATGCATCTTTAATTGCTAATCAACTTCAGATCGTTACACGACATCTTGATAATACAACTCGTAAAATTTTCGCATCCGTTCTTCAGATTCGCGCGAAGTAATGGTAATTCTTAGACAACAATGGGCAGGACGAACAATTAATATTAACGCAATAATAGTAGAAGTACGGCTATATCTGTGTCGATTATCGTGCAACAATGGAACTCACGCTTTGTTCGGAAAATTGCGCTCTAGTGATAAATACCCGCGTCCTCCGAGACGGATATTCGACATGTCTCTACTTCGGATTCTAGTCAAGTTTCTTATAAATCCTTGCGAATTACGAGTCACGATCTCTCGTGAATGAAAGACAGTCTTTGGTCGCGCTATTTATTCAATTTACGTATATACGAAAGAGGCGCCTTCTTGTTACCTTGACGGAAGGGAATTAAATCTCTCGCCGCGGAATCGACTAAAGCTCAACCGCGAAAGAGAATGAAAATGGTTTTGTATCTTCGCGTCGAAATGCAGCAAAACGTTTCGAGAATGTAATCGGCTCGGTGGAACCGATATACAACCGCGCTATTTGCCGCACGATAAGTCGAAAAAAATGAAGCGCTAACGAGGCCGGTATCGATCACAAATAGCTATTCACATCGCAGAAAAGTAGATATACCGTATCTAAGGATGTGTGTGTGCGTGTGAATTTTTGTACAAATGCGAGACGCATTTATGTCTTCGCGAGCGTGAACGCGATTCAATGGTTCTTACGTGAATTTTTGCGAAAAAGCTAGAATTTATAAACGAATTTAATAATAATTAGTACAGTGAAACATTTTAATTATTAATTGATACTGCTATATCTGCGATGGAGATAATCGATATGAAATTAATTAGCTACTATTTATACAAAAGAATGATGATTCTTTTGTAATGCTAATCTCTACTGTTAATTTATTCTGGTCGAAGCTATCCATTATTTCTTTGCCTCTATTATTCTTTAAAAAATACTATGGTTATTTTAATTATCTTTACATTATCGGATGCATCTCGTCAATCGATATTTCCAAACTCACGTTCAAGAATCATCGTTCTAATATCTACGAAGAATCTAATATTCTGCGAAGAACCTCCGGTATCCCTATTCACGTACCCTCTCCTCCTCCCACGTATGCTCGATAATCTGATTATGTTTCTCACGATTTAATCTCCCTATATGTGTACACAAGTGTGTATCTACGGATGTATGCGAGCGAGCGAGCGAGTAGTGGTATATATGCTTATGTGTGTGAGTATGTGTGTGTGTGTGTGTGTGTGTCGAAATGCGTGTATAATGTGGATTCGTACACAATATCAATTAACGTGCACAAGAACAATACTGCCACGAGATTGCGTGCAGGGCGGGTTCGTGCAGAGAGCCGCACGGAGCATTGACAGTGTGACAGACCTGGCTTTAATAGACACAACTTTAGCCCCGACGGCCATGTTCTCTTTAATGTAGATCGGGCCGTACACTACGTAGTCCCATACGGGCGGATTATTCGCACGGTCCACAACGTCAATCTGTACCTCCACCGTTCGCGACAATGGTGGGTAGCCCCTGTCTTTGGCCATCGCCTCCAGCTTGTACGTCTCGCGCTATGCGGCCAGACCGCGTGTATATAAACAAACGGGAACAAAAAAACAACGGCGTTAGTGTCAAGGCGCCAAAAAAGGCTCGTGGCAGAAGGGGGGAATACACGTCGTTGGTGACATCATCGCTCTTTTCCGGTGGTGGTCTCTTTCTCTTTGAGAGGAGAAGACGAAAAGAGGAGAGTGTCTTTTTCTTCTTTGCATCCCCAAGTTTGGCGATCACCCCGTCTCGACCTTCGCCTGAAACCTTTGGCGAGCGCGTGCTCGCGCATATTATGTGCACGCACCACCCCCTCGTGCCGAATTCGCTCGTTCGACTATACAAAGGTTACAACGAGAGACTCGCACGAATGCGAGATGTGCGTATATTAGTGCAGAACAGGCCGGAGGTTGAATGAGCTCTGGATGGCACGGTCGACGACACTCCCGCAACCTGCATTCTGCGCATGAATAACGCAAAAGAGCGCGCACCAGGATCTCTCTCGCTACATCCTCGCCTAATTACATGTATACATTTATATTAGCACGCTAGAGAGAGAGAGAGAGAGAGAGAGAGAGAGAGAGGCGCCAGTAGGAAATCCCGCTTTGCCTTCCCCGCGTTCGCATAATTATGGTTATTACTGCGTTTTATCTGCTACGGTTTTTGCGCGGCGATCGCTGTGTCTGCCGAGTCTTTGAAGACGCACGGTTCCTTCTGTCGCTCTTCTCTTTGTCGAAATAGCGAAAGCCTGTTCAATCCTCAAATGGAGTAAGTTGTCTGATTATATAAGAATCGAAAACTTTTTTCATGCCTTGATATAATGACAATAAATTTATAAGATCTTCTCGGAAAAGATTATATAAGAAAACATTATATAAGTTTTATAATTAGAAACTTGTCTTAAATTAATTTACGTACAGATTTGACTTACTCCATTTGACAATCGAGAAGCTCCATTATTTCCGAATGATTACTGCCCGATCGAACACTCGCTGCCTCCAAATCGTCGAAGAGCGATCGCCGCGGCTCGCTACAATATATGTTAGGAAGAGATAGTGGTAGTAGTAATAGTAATAGAAGTTGTTGTAGTAGTAGGAGAAGGAGTGTCCGCCAATTAGCGATTTACCGCGCCGCGCTTAACCATAAGTGCTTCCGCAACCAGAAAGAAAGAAAGAAAAAAAATGATGTGTGTGTCTTGTGCCTGTGTGTTTGACAAGAGAATTAAATGTACGGATGTACGAAAGACATCAACGAAATATAGATCATAGGTGTCGCGTGACAGGAACAAAAAAGAGAAACGAAATGGGACGAGGTAAACAGAAGGAATAACGTAGATTAAGGCGAAAAGAGAGAACTTAGCGTGAACTCGTAAAGTAAATTCAAACGGTTAAAGGGAATGAGAATCGAAGGGAACGCTGAGGCAAATAGAATACGCGAGTAATTGAATTCAGGTGGAAATGGAAAAAAGGAAGGCGACGAAAAAAGAAAAAAA